TATCGCGAATTGGTAATCATTAATTTACAGGCAACCTATTCGCCGTGATATATTCCACATAAAGTCGATCGATGTTACAAAACCATCCATGGACCTTACTGACTACCATAACCATAGCCATTAACCATAAAGTTGGGGCCTTTTCCATCCAACCCACAACATCGAAAGGGGGTAAAAGCCTCTGGTTGACATATATTTGCCCGCTGAAAATGGGGTCCAATTTCTATCCTTCATGGTGTCTTACGGGAATGTTTCGGCCATCGTTGGTTACAAAAAAACACGGGTTTTACATAACACTGACACTTCACAATAAAACTACTTATTTACATTTATACATAAAACATTTGATATTGGCGCCCAAGTAGGGCCCTAGGATCCGTTTACCATACCAGGCAGATTACAACTACTTTTCTAATTTCCTACATCTACCCGATCATCCGTAATCATGAATCCATGACGCCACCGATCTCTCCAAACCGATCGATGATGTGTATCATCTCTTGGTGTCCGTCGCAGAGAGTAGAGAGTTTGTCTACCCAGGGTTGTATCCTTGGGTGGGTGGTATTCACGCTGCTCCCGAACATACTCACCCACCTTGAAATGTCCTACATTTCTGAACAGTTCCAGTTGATGTTACTGTCAATTCCTTTCAGCAGTGATCCTATTTATCTTAGTGGTGATTTGTTGTTTGCTGTCCCCTTTCCCTTTGATCTATTCCGTCATTCCATCGAAGTCTCATCCACCATCGGAAATTCCCTTCATCCTGATCCTTAATGAGAATAGTCTTTATCCTGATCCCTTTCTCCTTCTTTCCTTAAGACCCATCCGCACCCTTTGTTAAAATGTGGTTCCATTCCTCCGTGCCCATTGGATTGCAGCTCTATCGGATTTGGCAATAGAGTTCCGATACCGTTCGTCATCCCTTGATGATGACGGGTTCTTGAAAGACGCCGGTTACTACTTTGTTCCTCGAGCAACCGTGGGAAACGTCTTCGTCCACCAGACAAACGATGTTCCAATCATTTGTCTCCTTTTAATTGAGCACTACCCCCAGTAGCGCTCGGGTTCGAAATTATAATTCGATGTCCTATTTACAATTGGAAAGTAAATCGAGTTCGGTTCTACGAGCACCTGTTGCTCGCAGTGCGGAGTGGGTTGTATTTGCTATTGTTGTCCTTAACAACAGCATCCAAAATCACGTAGTAGGTTGGTTTTTGCCACGTGATCGCCAAATGACCAGAATAGGAATGGAATCGTAGAATCGTTGTCCTAGCAACAATACAAATACCGATAGGTAGTGGTGGTGGTAGTAAATCAAAATTGGTGGAGATCTGGATTTAATTTTCCATGGTTTGCCTCTTTATGAACTATTCGTCCAACCTTTCCAGTATGCATTAATCCCATCGGTAGGAATTCACAATCGTACCATCCCCTATACACCGTGTATCTTTTCCTACTTGAGGCATTCGACAGAAGTCCGTAATCCGAAATAGAGTGAGTCCTCATTCAAAATGCATCGAACAGCTGATCCTACAGATGTGTTGAGCCTTCGTCGATCGTCGTCGTATTCAAAACAACCGTTGTCGTGGTGCTGTTCTATCGTGATCGCATTGAAGTAGTTTCTCGACGATCTCGTCCGCCGTAGTAAACAGAGAGAATCTGAGAGAGCTGTTGCAGAATACCAATCAAGCGTCCTATTGTCTGAGCCAGGTTGATCAGACATACATTGAGAATTATTATAGGGTGACCAGTTTTGTTTCTCGATAGGTATCCTATTCGAATCTTGCCGTAACCAAACCTTGGTAAGAGTGTTCCTACGTCGAGTCATCCGATCATTAGTATCCCGTAATTGCGTGTCCAACACAGATACGATTGGTAGGAGAGAAGAGTGTTTCGGTTTAATTCCAGCTTTTATTGTTTCGGCTGAGGATCGTCGAAATCAGTGCTGGGTTCCAATGCCCTACCAGTCAGTATTCGTGATCCTTACTCGGTGGTGGTAACCTCGATGAATAGATCGCGTGGTGATGTTTACATGAAGAGGATAATTTGTATTAACGGGTGTAGTATCCTATGTCCAGGCTTCGGTGGACATATACTATTAAGTGTACTGACCTGGCAAAATGACTGTTGAAGCTTCCTCTTCGTGTGTGATCCAAACCGATGTTGGTAGTGTAAGATGAGAAGGGATTCATCACGTGCCTTGATTGCGATCGTTGTGTTGGTAGTTGGGATGTTTACAAAATCCGTCAGAATTCGTAAACCGAGGTGATTACACAAGTCCATTTGTGATTCCCGTTCACAAACTCTAGTTAAAGTGATGACCATTCCCAAACTTGGTGTCCAGTGTTGACAAGCTCTAATGTAAGTGCATGTGCCCAGAGACGTCAAAAGATGAGTGTTAGAACGAAATATTGATCCACTTCGGCGGGACACATACATTGAACTTTATTTATTTACCTGTGAAACCAGGAGATTTCCCTGGTTCAGTGTCTAACGTCCATGCAGCTATCGAGTGAAGTGAGGTAGATTTCGTTCATCCAATGATGCCAATGATTTGATGTTCCATAGTTCAATCCAATTATGCAGATGGCAGAATCCATATTCGAATTATTATGAGGTTTCCACATGTTCCTGTGAGTTGCGAAGAGTGCGGTTTGCATAGATTGCACCTTGTTGCGATGGATATTCAGGTAACTCCAGTCCAGATTCATTTTTTACAGCAAAGATGGTACAGTGTGAAGTTGTGAATGGTGGTTTTGTTTAAGCAATTGTTCGGGATCGCGATGGCACGAAACTTTCATATTTTTCGGTGATATGATGGTGTTTTGGTGCATTATTCCCGAGATGAATAGTGGCCGTTGAGCGCCATTCCAAATCCGATAGCGCTATAGTCAGACCTTTTGACCGTCCTTCCAATGTCCTTCCAGAGGCATTCCGGCTCGAAGGACCATAAGGAAGGACCGAAAATGTATGGAGAAAACAAGAATTTGGAATGGTAATGGTTCTTAACCTCCCATTATTTGTAAGGTCCACATCCAAAAAACCACAATACGTAAGGTTAAAACTTTATCACACAAACGTTCATGTAAAGTTCCATAACCGTTTCAGTTAAAGTTCTGTCGGGATTATAAAGAATTTTTAACCATTTTTGGTAAGAACGTTTATGCGAGATGTTTCTGATATTGACCAGAAATTAATTAAACTGTCCTAAAGATCTCTTAAGGGGGTATTCCCAATCTTTTGCCTTTTTTCGGCCTGTTTTTCAATTAATTTTTTTTTCAAGGAAAATGAATAGTAATGCGCCTAACTCTTTGGGATTCTTGTTTATTGAACATTAAAGTTTACAAATAAATTTTTTTCGACATAAAAAAAGACATTATTGACGTCACAAAATGGCGGCAAACAGACCCCTGTTCGCCGCAAACGCCTGGACGAGCGAAGACTTTTCTCTGGAACGGCTTCATCTGAAACAGATTTCGTGATGAAATTAGTAATCTGCATAAGATTCTCTGGAGCTTCTCCCGTTGGCAGCAAAAAATCTTGCAAATTAACAAAATGGCGGCCATATGAAAAAACAGGCGATTTTTAGCCCGCTTTTTTGCAGCTTTAAGGTGCTTCAAACAATGTTAAATGTTAATATTTTTGGCTGAAAGTGGGAGAAACTCCAAAGAATTTAATAAGGAACAAAATGCGCAAAGATTCAAGTCAATATCTCTTATAGTTTCTGAGAAAAATCTTCGCCCGATAAAAAAAATGTGGTTTCGAGAAAAACGCGTTTAAAGTTTTGACTTTAGTTAAAACCATTTGGGGGTTCTTACCATTAGTCAGCTATGCCTGGACACCGAATTCGCTGATCGGAAAACGGCTTGGGGGGATGAAAGTATATAGTCTAAAGTACAAAAAAACGTGAAAAACAAAAATTTGATTTTTTGAAAAAAAAGATCGGGAATACCCCCTTAAGTCTCCCACATTTTCTGCACTTTCTTGGATTTATCGGAGTTTCTGAGGAGTTCCTTTTTTAATCCTATGAACTTCCCTGATATTCTCTGGAATGTTTTTGAAGTCATTGGAACTGCGTTGAATCTACTAGTAAAGTCTGGTAAAGTTTGGTAGCAGCTGCTCTTTTCGTTCATAATTTTAATATTCCTATCAACTCAGTGCTAACATTTCAAAAAGGTAAAACTACTTTTGTAAACAATGTCTGGTTTCTCGCCAACAAAAGCTCTTCCCCTGATGATGCCAACTGGTAGAGGAAACATTCATCTTTTTCCCTCCCAAATGTATGATATCGGTGGCGGCTCACAGGTCTAGTCCTGATTGTTACCAGTGCGAATGTGTTTAAACTTGTATGCGTCGAAGAAGGCAAAAAAAATAAGAAGAAGAAGTTATGGGAAAGTTCAACCGAAGCGGACCTACCTACACCAAATAAAGTTCTTGCGTGTTCTCCTCCTGTCTGCGTGACGACAAGCATTCCGACGGGATGATGTTGGTCGGTGTTCAACAGGATATGGAAGGTTATTGTTGCTTGAAAATAGATTTCTGTGTCAGAAGAGGCAACCACCGGTGCACGATGGATTGGAATAGGAGGGGAAAGGAGGGCTGAATCTGAGGTTGATGAAATGTATTGTAAAAACAGTGGAGTGGAACGTACAACAACAGTTTTTTTTTAAAGGTCGAAGAGCCTTCCGAGGAAGCCAAGTGAAAAATGGTCGTTGTGAAAGGAACGGACCTGACCGGTAACCGCAGCGCATGAAATGTATAGACGAAAGATTAATGCTCTGGTAATTGGAAAATAAATCGAAAATTGATTGCTTTATTGCTTGGTGTTTTTTTTTTTGGGAACTTGCAGAAACGGTTCTCTTGAGAACGGTCCTCTCAAAGTTTATCGATATTACTGACTTTACTCACAGCCCTTTCGAACTAGTTTCTTTATCAAATCCAACCCTTGCCCAGTCTGAACTGTGTTTTAATATCCATCTATTCTTCTTCTCCTCTTGCAGCCACATAACGCGTACCGCAGGATGGCTGCCGCCAATCGAGAACTGGATCCAGAGAAACGATCTGCCCTACGGCTGGGAGAAAGCGGTCGACCTGAAAGGCCAACCCTACTATATCAAGTGAGTAGTTTATATCGATAACCGATAAGGATGGAACCCAACGACGACCATCCAAAATTAGGTCCTCCTTCGAATCGATGTTTACAATGCTGTTGTCTTCTCTTTTCCTTCTCCATCAGCCATCTGAACAAAACCACCACCTACGAGGAACCGGAGCGCTACCACTACAATGACTCCCCGCCGGAACCGCGCCTGGTGGTGCTGCATCGGAGTCCCACCCTGGGCTTCGGCTTTGTGGCCGGAAGCGAAAAACCTGTGATTGTGCGGTTCGTGACCGAGGGCGGACCTAGTGTAAATAAGGTAACGTGGCGGAATAGGCCATCGAAGCTGTTATCCCATTGACCACCAGAAGCAGTACATCGATAGACGGATTGAATCCCAGATAGAAAAACATTTTTACTCATAGTATATGGTTTGAGGTGCCGATTTCAGTTCTCGGTTCGCTTATAAATCTTTGAGGACTGAAAATTTTAAGTCAAAATAAAGGAAACTGTTCCAGCTTCCGATGGCTTCTTTCTCCAATTGTAGGATTTTAAAATTAATTTAAAATAGAGATATACATAGTTGGACATGCTTATCGTCAAATATGAGACTTAAAGTGGACATGGTATACGATGGATGATTAGATGAAAGTATAGAGTTGCGTTCTAGTACGGCAGTGTGAAAATTGTATATAGAAAGTAGAAAGCGAGCAAAGGATAATGTTGAGGAAGATACGAATCGGATCGAGCATCCCCTTTACCAAACTCCTCCTTAACGGAGGTGGTGGTGTCCCTTACCCTTACCTCAGGAGTTTGGTAAAGGGGATTAACAACCCGATTCGTGCCTTCCTCAAAACTGTCCTTTGCTAGCTTTCTAATTTCTATTTACAATTTTCACACTGCCGTACTCTAACGGAACTATCAACTCTATACTTTCACCTCACCATCTATCATATAAACTGTCCACTGTCAAAATCATTCACATTTTCAAAAGAATTATGTTGGCTAGATTTTTGATTTCGATTTCTACTACATTTACTTGCCGAACATTGTTAGCAGCAGGTATAGATGAAGAATTTGAAGCTTGTGACCTGTTTGTACATACGGATACGAATGTAGAAGCATTTTATTTCCATTTCCATTTCGTCAAGCCAGTGTAGACTACATACAATGATTATTACAATGTTTACTTACATACTATGCATTCATTCTATTCTGTTTTAGCTTAGTTTTTATTTGCAGCTTGGACATAGTGATGTCAATAGTTCCGCAATGCAAATTATAAAGGCGCATCATTCGATTGATTGGGCTATTTTTTGCATAGCCTAGCATACCCCGTAACGTGGGTAGATCACCTTTTCGTGGTACGTTACGGGATGTAAGATCTACCACCGATTTCTAGTCTTGACTACTTCAAACTAGGGGAACAGGATTTTTCAGTAATCAAAGGAACACATCTTAGTCCTTTTTACTTTTTATGCCTTGTTGATAGTGATAAGTCTTCGGGTTCCCTGGACTGAGGATGATCTTGAAACCAGGAAAAAATGAGTTAGTTAGTCTTCATCTATGTGATTCCGAATCTTCTATTCGTTGTTCCCTAGCTTGAAGTGGTTAAGACTAGGGTTCTGATGCATGGTCATTATCGGTGTCATTGCTTGTTTTTGTTGCTAAGGAATCCAATTTTGACTGACAAAGGGGCGCGCCTTTGAAGGGTGTTCCAACACTCCGAAGGGTATAAATAGCGGGACCTTTCAATTAGAATCGATTCCTTGCGATGAAGGCAAGAATGACAACTGTATCAACACCGAATACTTCATCATTTATCAATAGTGATGGAGTAATACGACATGCACTAAACTAAGGACACGGGATATACTACAATAGATCAAATTACTGGTCGCAGTGGTGTTATGTCCCGAACAGAGAGAGAAAAAAAGGGTCCTATCTGCTTTGATCGATTCTAATGATAGTATTATAATGTTCTATAAAAGTTAGTTTGGAGTCTAGGATTACACCTAGATCTCTTACAATTTTGCTTTTCTCTACTATTTGGTTGCCTAATGATATTTCAATATGCGGTGTTTCAATTTTTCTGCTAAATGCTATTGCAGTACTTTTTTATGTTCAGTTGAAGTAGACTTTTACTACACCAGGTGTGGAATATATTGATTTCATTCTGGAATTCTTCTGCATCGCTAGAATTACTTATTTCCATAAAGAGCTTCATGTCGTCTGCATATACAAGCAATTTTATTTTTTTTAAGTATGTAGGAAATGTCGTTTATGTACAAAATAAAAAGAAGTGGGTCTAAATGAGAACCCTGCGGTACCCCAGAGGTGACTGAAATTGGTTCTGAAAGTTTATTTTGAAAGCGGACTATTTGTTTACGATGTGTTAGGTATGATTGAAGCCAATTCAAAAGTCCAGGCTCCATTCCTATTTTCTGCAATTTGAGGATTAATAATGGTATGTCGATGCGGTCAAATGCTTTACTGAAGTCGGTGTATAGCGCTTCAACGTGTTTTCCACTGTCCAACGCTTTAATAATGAAAGATACATATTCTAGAAGATTAGAGGTAGTTGAGCGACCTTTAAAAAAGCCGTGCTGTTTACTTGTAATTAGATTTTTCACCTGCTGAAAAATATTGCCGTTTACGATTGATTCAAAAAGTTTTGGAATGCAAGAAATAATAGCAATTCCACGATAACTTCGAATGTCTGATTTTGCACCTGATTTGAAAATAGGTACCAAATAGGATGATTTCCAAATTTCAGGGAATTTTCCATTTTTCAGAGACATGTTGAAAAGACGCTCTAGAGGAAATGCGAGATCTTCTGAAAGGTTTTTCAAAAATATGGGTGCAATGCCGTCAGGTCCAGACCCTTTCGACGCGTTTAAGTTTTTTAGTGCATTGAGGACTTCATGTTGAGAAAGTTGGTTGACAGAGATGTTTTTAGAAATTTCAGGAATGAATGCAAAGAAATCGCGGTCACGATCTTCTTCGGAAAATGTGGTGTATACTTCTTGGAAGAAATTTGCAAAGAGATTGCAAATTTCAAAAGAATTCTCACCTACATTCATTCGTGAAGGAAAATTGCTGCTTTTTAATTTCGTGTTTACATAATTAAAAAAGTTCTTAGGTCATGATTTGACTTCATTTTCGACTTTGCGGTTATAGTCCTCATATGCAGAGTTGATGGCTGTATTTAATTGGTTGCATAAGTTGTGATAGTTTCGCAACTTGGTTTCAGTTTTTTCTTTTTTGTATAGTTTATGAGCTTTCTGTTTTTTATTCTTCAAATTTTTCAGTTGTGGATTGAACCATGCGGGTAGTTTATTGTTTTGTGTTCGTCTTCTTTTTTTTGATGGTACAGTTTCTAAAGTTAGGCTTTGAAGAATTGAGTGAAATTTTTCTACTTCAGTATCGACATTTCCTTCAATACTTATTAAATTTTGCCAATTTATTGTACATAGTCTACGTTTGGCTTCTTCGTAATTTGCTTTATGGTATTCCGGCACTTCCTCGTATTCCCAGTCGCTGGAGGAAGAAGAATTTTGTACGAAGATTGAGTATTCAATTGCTGTGTGAAACACTTCATTTTTCCATAAAGGTGCTAATGATGTATCCACACAGAAGTCTTCAGTACAATTTGTAAATAAAAGGTCTAAATATGAGTTTTGTTGATTTTTTACATGGTTTATTTGATTAAGACCAAAATAAGATATTTGGTGAATAATAATTGTAATGTTTCGTCTTCACCTACGACCGGGAGTAAAAATGATTCATTTTCAATGTCTGTAATAAAGTCTGCGTTTCGTTGATTGAAGTCGCCATAAATATGCAGTTTTACTTCTGGTTCCATATTTGACATTATAGTTTCAACAATTTGAAAAAATAGTTCAAAAGACTGCTTGTGGGCATGTTTAGGTGGAAAATAGACAGAAGAAAAAATGTGTATTTCACCGGCAATAAGTGCTTTGACCCAGACATTTTCGAATTCCTTGAGCTTCTGACGCTTTCGTCCCAGCTTGTTTCAGTTCCAAGAATTATTTGAAAAGAAGAAGATAGAATGTTCTGGTGGATTTCTTTCATTTTAGCTGGGCTTTTCATGCGATTGAAATTTTTGCAATACACCAAAATTTCAGTCGCATTCTGTTGAGGAAGTGAAGAGATTTTTGGAGGGTCAGTATTACTTACATTAGTAGGGTCTACCTCATGTAGAGTGTCGTCATTCGATAATAATAATTCCCTTGCATGGGAATAGTCGTCGTTACTTCCTTTAGTAGAGTGTAGAATTTGTTCCTCGCTGACCGTTGTTGACAGCACAGGAATTTGTACCTGTGGAGCTACCTGTGGAGCTACCTGTCGCTTAGAATGAGATTGTAGGATCGCTTTGCGAGTCTTACATTCCCAAAAATTGAATTTGTGGTTTTCACCACAATTTGAACATTTTTATTTTTAAGGATCTTCCTTCACAGGACAGTCGTCCTTTGCGTAAGAGGAATCATCAAAATTCATGCATTTAGCTGGCATGAAGCTATTTATTGTTCCGTGACTCCATATCTCGCACTTACGGCACTGGGTCAGGTTTTGGAAATTTCCTCCAGTCTTCATGAAGAGTTCCCACTTCGCTGGCCGATTTACGATAAAAATAGAATGCGGCACGAATAACGCAACTCGATCTTGTTCAATTTCTCCCAAGGCAGAGTCCAGTGAAATCTTCGGGAAAGTTGAGAAAAGAGAGTGTTGTGGCAACAACCGGCTTTGAAAGAAGAGCCAGCGATCAGAATAATCTCTCGCGTTACCCATCTAGTTCGAAGAAGTTCACGGGAAAATCGAACTTTCGTTGAGTTTGGCCGAGCTCACCTTCCCTAAGCTGAGAGTCCCAGTTTCGCTTCACTTCCGTCCAAACCGCAGATTTTTTTATGCTTTATTAGAGAGATTTTTAACCGTTGGCTAGTTCATCTCTATAAATGGGAGGCCCCAGAGGGGGGTTCTGCCAGCAAATTTTGTTACGGAGTTGGCTTACAATTTACATGTACTCAAATAGAAGCAAATAAAACAGATTCCAGTAAAAAGACTAACAATACAGGCAACGAGAAAAAAAAAACAATCTGGTACATCAAAGTTAGGATTCTTCGCATGAAGAGGGATTGGGATTGGCACCAATCTGCTTCCCATGCTTCCCACATTTTGCTAACTATCCATCGCTTTAGGTCCTGTAGTGGCACTTCGTCGGTATAACGGGGGCCAGCTGGTCCAGACCCTGCCAGGCTGTCGGCTCCGCTGTTTCCTGGGATACCGCAGTGCCCAGGG